ATTATTTTTTTTTTTTTTTTTTTTTTTTTTTTTTTTTTTTTTTTTTTTTTTTTTTTTTTTTTTTTTGTCAGATCAACCTAACTAACTGGAAATTAGAGTTACAACTCAACCCAATTTATCTTACCTGCTTTTAAAATTTTTTAAAATATTTAAGTTTATAATTGATATTATTGATGTATTGTGATTTATAGATATTTAATATAAATTTTATGACATTTTAGTTAAGAATATAACTCTATTATTTATAAGTATGATTTTTTTTAACTAATTAAGAAAGAAAGAACAATTAGATAACTCAAATTAAATAGGACTTGAAAATAGAGAGTTGAATTGAACTTTTTAAAGGGTTGAATTAAACTTTGTGAGCTTTATTTGAATTGCTCCAGCTATGCATTCAAAATTTTCTAATTCAATTTGGGTTTATTTTTAAGGGAGGTATTGATTTTCACTTTTTTGATACTATGAAGTAATGCAACATTCTAGTTGTAATTTCGTGGACTCAAAAAACATAGAAAAAAAAAGAAAATGTAAGCATAATTTTTTAAAGAAAAAAATAGGGATAATTAACTGTTTTAGTAATGATAATAAATTTATTATTTTTACCTCATACAATAATTAGTAATTTATCCTCCCTTTTATTAAAAAAAAAACCATTAATTTAGATATTATGGATTGAGATGATTATAGTCCATACTATTTTGGGGGGTTTGTTGTCTTTAACATTTTAAAAATAAATTAATATAAAAAAACAAATCCCCTTTTATAGGAAACCATTTCTCTAAGTGTGACAATTTCATATTGTTTTAATTTTTCAATAATTTTTAGAAGACTACAAAATTAGTTATGATTTCTTAAGCTGAAGTTAAATAAATAAAAATAAAATAAAATTGAATTATCCTACTTAAAGGATCAATATCATTTTCGTATAATTTCCCTTTATTATCCTAATTTTTATTTTTCGTGTTACATCATTTTTTGAAATAATTGCAGAGAGAGAAAATTATACATTATATGTTTAGTCCTGTGAGTCAATTTTCTAATTATTGTGATGTTAGTCAGCTAGTCCCCCCTTTTCCTTCAATTTTGTTTTTATTTCACCATAAAAAATAAAAATAAAAGACAATTACGGAATATTATAATATTACAAATGTGTTCATTTTTTAAACTGTCTATTATATATTAAATTAAACGTAATGTCAGTATTGTAAAAGACAAACGTAATTTTATCTTTTGGCAGTCTTCTGTGTCAATCTCTTTCACTTTTCCTCTCTCAACCATTATTTTCATTCCGATTGTATGTTCTTAAAAAATAAAATGTAATAACATGATTGAGGAAAGTTTCAAAACGTTGGAGTAATTTTGTGTTGGGTGATCTCTTGAAAATTTTCTCTAGAAGTAAAGCATGCAAGTGAGACTCGTGTTAGTCTATGAGGATAACCTTCCCTTTTAGAAGTAGAAAAGCGCTCAGCAAACTGTGAACCTAACTCGAGAGGGCGACCACTAAGATAAACAAACTTAATAAGAAGGGCGAGTCAAGGATCTCCCTGAT